TTCCTTCCTTCCTTCCTTCCTTCCTTCCTTCCTTCCTTCCTTCCTTCCTTCATCCATCTATCTTAGATGCTTCCCATCTCACCTGATAACTACTCTAAGCAGTTTAAAATAAAAAAAACCCTAAAGATATCTATTAAAAATAATAAAAACATTAAGACATCAGAACAATAAACAGTGGACAAAAATTGATGGGGAAGAAGGAACAAAATGAACGTAGGAGGAGAGGTGCAGTCTTATCTTTGTCCGTTAAACAACTTCAAGAATGATGTGCTTACATTGGGACCCCAACACAGTTGACCAAGCCAGATCTTCAGACATTTTCACCATCAAATTTTCACGTAAAGTAATGTCCACATAGATTTCCAAATCAGAACCCATCCGTTATTCCCCTTCCTAATAGAACACAACTTTAGATGTAGAATTAATAGAAAAAAAATCTATAATTGGCAGACTTCAAAATTTATTCCAAAACATATAGAAATGGTTAGTTTATACTACTTTGTAAAAGTAAAAAGTTGAGGCTTTATTCTACCGCACTAAAGGGAGTCTCATTTTTTCTTTTCCCCCTTTTCTTTCGCTCACTTTTCCCTTCCCTATTTTCCCTACTATTTACTTCTGTATTTTCTTTTGTATGCTAAACTAAGAAAAACTGTTTAAAAAAATTCATTCCAAAACACACAGAGTCCCAAAGGTGGTTTTTCAAAAGGCACCTGGACTTTGTCTTTCTTGGAATACATTTCGCTTCTCACCCAAGGAGCTTCTTCAATCAGAACTGGAGAAGCTTCTTGGATGAAGAAGCGAAACTTCTTGCAGGGAAAAAAAAGTCCAGTTGCCCTTTGAAAAAGCACCTTGGAGACAACCATGACCTGGATGGCTGCGAATCTCTGTAGAAACCCTCAGAGTACTTGGTTTGGAATTATTATGTATGACCTCTTGAACATGTAGATACCACATAGAGGTCAGTGTTCTTATCACCATCCATTGCATTGAGAATGTTCATCCATTATTTAGGTACATTTTTTTCTTTGTTATGCTAGAACACTGATGCTGCCCTCTTACCTTGCATCAGCTATCCTGCATTTGCTGTGGACGATGAAGCTTTGTATAGTCAAACAATTGACAAGATAGTTAGGAAACTCAAAGGAAAATATGGATTTAAGCGTTTTCTGAGAGATGGCTATAGAACCGCGTTGGAGGACAAAAACCGACAGTACTATAAACCAGCAGAAATTAAGGTAATGACCTTGTTTCTGTGATATGGGAAAGAATGAATGTGTGTTCATAAATGCTAGTATGCAAAACCTGTGAGTTTGTTTTTGTTGACCTCTGTTTATTACAATAACTAGGCAAAGAAATTCCAGGTTTGCCCACTTTAAGTAAATTTTGTAGCGCCAACTAACTTGATTCTGAATGTCAGATTCTAATATTTGCAATTTACCGACATTGCTGTTCACTCCCGAGGGCAGATTTAACAATGATTTTTATATCATATTTTTAAGATGCTAGAAAAGGACAACACTTCAGCACTTTTGTAACTGAATTAACAAAAAAAGACAAATGTTGAGTTATTGTTGATATAATTATAAGTCTTCCTTTCTGAAAATTCAAGGCATGCCTCCCCTACACACCCATTGTACTGAATTTCCAGAAAGACATAGGATGGAGGTAAACTTTGAGACATTGGAATACCGTTGATCCATTGGTTAGTAACAAAAGACTGGATAGCCAGTGGCCAAGCTCAACTCATGACTATTTTATACACTTACAAGTAACAATATGTATTCCTTTGGCTCATTTTCAATCTGTCACTGATACAAAGGGATGAAGAGTGTATCATTATACCTGTGTGATGAAGAATTACCTGAACCATGTACCCTATTCCAAAATGCAATCTACCTGTATGGAGACATACAGATAGAGGGCAGGACATGTGGGTCTACAACAGCTTGCCATGGCCAACTCACCTTGGCCAACTCATCATGGGTTAACTCCCCACAGCCAACTCACCATAGGACAACTCACCACAGTCAACTCGCTCCCAGACAAGAGTTACATTAATATCAAGGAAATGGTGCAGTAGAATCAAGAAAGGGGTGCAAGAGAAAGGATAAAATAAAAAGCGAATGACAAAAATTAAAGCAATGTTTAAATCATTTTAAGTAATTGAACTGAATCATTGAATTTGCCAGTTGTCCCGTAGCAAGTTGGCCACAGCGAGTTGTCCCCTGACGAGTTAGCTGAGGCAAGTTGGCCATGGTGAGTTGGCCGTGGCAAGTTGTCCCATTCTGAGGACAAGTAGTACAGAATCCATTCCACCCCTTAGACTCAACCTCAACATGACTTAGCTCTTTCAAATCTATGGAGGGAACTTGAGCTTTAGATGCTCTTGTCGTGTTCTTCTCCATGCTCTCCTGATGATGTTGCATGTTTTGACAGAACCCAAGGAAAATGTTAATTGCTTTGATGTATCGTGGAGTGGGAAGAAGCCAAACAAATCATACAAGCTATTAACTTTGGCACTTCCTTGCCATCTATTTTAGTGAAGGAGACACGGCTTGCATTTTGGATGTGCAATACTTAATATATTGTATCAGCATATTTCTTCCTGATTGATTTGTTTAAAGGTGAATGTGTTTGGATTTCAGGTTCAAAGTATAGTTTCTTTCCTGTCACAGATAGTCACATTATTTATCATTTAATTTCACAGCTGGCTACAGACTGGAGTGTATTAATAATAAAATTTTGATATGGCACTGAATATTAATGCTTTCCATTAAGAGCTGTCTGAATGAAGTTCCCCTTTTTCCTTCACTTTTCATATTATTTTTAATTTAAATGGAATTCCTTTGTGGAGAAGCACGATGTGATAAATCTTACTCATAAAATTTTTGTTCCGCATTTTGAAAGAGTTGGAAATTTGTGTGTGTGTGTGTGTAGCTAGATGAATTATCTTTTTTTTTTCTCTTCTCTTTCTTCATGTAAGTTGTTGCCGTACTTAAAAAGAATAATTTGTTTTCATGGGTATCTTTCATTCCTTTGAACTCATAATAGATTGCTTGAATATGTTTCCGTAAATAAAACTGCAGCACGCCTGTTACATATATTTATTTTTCTTTTCTTTTTAAAACAACTTTCAGCTCTTTGATGGCATTGAATGCGAATTTCCTCTCTTTTTTATTTTTATGATGATTGATGGTAAGTATGATTTTGTGTTCTTATTGTGTCGGGGAAGAGAGTTGGAATGTGCAGAAATAAATTGGTGGATGTGGGTTTTTGTGTGTGTGTGTTTGTGTATACACACACACACACACACACACACACACACACACACACACATACATATAGGCAAACCAAGAGATAGATTGTAATTGCTTATGCCAAATTTTCAGTAATAATGCTACACCTACATAAGCAAAATGAATTTAGCTGTGGAATCAAGAGGGTGCGATGGCTCAGCAGTTAAAAGACGCTGAGCTTGTCAGCTGGAAAGCTGATAGCCTAGGTTCGAGTCCCAAGAGCTGCATTGATGGGGCGAGCTCCCGTTCCTTGCTCCAGCTCCTACCAACCTAGTCATTCAAAAGCATGCAAATGCGAGTAGATAAATAGGTACCACTTTGGAGGGAAGGTGACAACGTTCTGAGTGCCTCAGCATGTAGTCCCATGACCATGGAAATGTCTTTGGACAATACTAAGAAATGGGGATGAACACTGTCCTCTAGAGACTAAACCATATGAAGAACGGCTGCAGGTGTTGGGTCCGGTTGGTCTAAAGAAAAGAAGAATTGGGATGATAACAGTATTTCAATATTTGAGGGGCTGCTAGAAAGAAGAGGGGGTCAAATTATTCTCCAAAGCACCAGAAGGCAAGACAAGAAACAATGGATGGAAACTCATCAAGGATTGAAGCAACCTGGAATTAAGGAGAAACTTCCTAACGTTGAGGACCATTAACCAGTGGAACAGCTTGCCACCAGAAATCATCACTGGAGGTTTTTAAGAGGAGACTGGACAGTCATTTAAGAAGAATCAGACATGGCTGAACAGGGGAAATCTTTGCCTTTATCTTTGAGGGAATAAACTATTTTTCTGTAGTGAGCTTTATTTCTCACTATGTTTGGCTGCACACAGCGGTTATAGATGTACAATTAAGGGTAACAAGCTGAAGTATTTTTTCTTTATGATTTGGAAATTTTGAAAAGTTTTGGGAGGTCTCTAGTGCAAAAACAGTGTTGTGTTTCCCACAAGAGCTCCTCCATCAATTTCAACAAGTACAACAAGAACTAGTTGGAACTCATCTCCCATCATTCCCAGCCAGGTCAGTGAACTTACAGAAGGTTGTTTTAGCTAGATCTTCCCATGTGAGCATCTAGTTAGTGTAAGGCTGTTTAGATACCTGCCAGCCGGGTTTGGATTTTCAGAGATCAGTCGCAATCAAGTAAATGGCTTTTATTAAAATCTCATGTAGCTTCAAAGACATTTCACACACACACACACACACACACACACACACACACACACACTCTCTCTCCTTCATGACCTTTATCTTCAAGGAAATGCAGAATTTGACATCCACAAAGTTCCCAGCCTCTCCCCCAAAAAACCTTCCCCTGGAAAGCGGAAATGGAACAACTGGCAAAGTGTGAATTATAGACAAATGTCACTAAAAGAAAATTCTGTACAGATCAAAGCCTAACAGTGTAATCACGACAAAACTGCAGGAAGTCCATCTGGTATTTCATAACCCCCTACCTTCCAGGGAAATTATTTTCAACTAGGGAAGTAGTGGGTAGTACAGTATAATCCATGAAAAATTATACGTATGCCCACATATGATAAGAGAGAATGCGTAATAGGAAAATACCTTGTGAGTCATCCCTCCCATCTATCCTTCCATCTTCCCCCCTTCTTTTATGGCATTTCTCTCTTTCTGATCTTTGTCGGCTGTAAGCAGCGGTGGGATTCAGCCAGTATGAACCAGTTCTGGTGAACTGGTAGTTCTGTCAATTATTTGGCCCAGGGGTGGGATTAAATTTTTTTTACTACCGGTTTTTGGGTGTGACTTAGTGGGCATGGCAGGGGAAAGTTACTGCCAAATCTCCATTCCCTCCCCACCCCACTAACCTGCTTTCCAGCTCTGTTCTCCTATGCAGGGCAACCAAAGAAGACCCAGCTAATCAGCTGAGACTCAATGGGAGACAGAGAAGAGATGGGTGCTGGACCAGTCAGAGGTGGGATTGGCCGGTTCTCCGAACGACTCAACATTTCCGCTACTGGTTCTCCAGAACCGGTCAGAACCTGCTGAATACCACCTCTGGTTTGGCCCCACCCATCTGCCCCTACTCTATTCTGTGCTTGATTTCCTTTATTTGAAGCTCAGCTGATCGGCGTGGCAGCCCGGATTGCTGCGCTGTTTTTACTCACCTGGGCTGCAGTAAAAAGTAAGCTTTCCTTCTGTTTTCAAAAGCACTCTGTGAGCACGTGCCCACCAAACTGTTTGTTACACAGAGGTTGAATCTCACCACTGGCTGCAAGCCACAGTTTGTGGTTTTGGTGCCCATTGCCACATTGGCAGGATTTAAGCCCTGGTCTGCCTGTGTCAGCCCATGTTACCAAGGGCAAATTGTAAGCCATAGCGACATGCAGGTAGTCCTTGACTTAACGGTCCACAATGGAGACCAACATTTCTGGGGGTAAGCGAGGAAGTTTGCAAGTGACTTTTGCCTCATTTTACAGACTTTCCTGGCGCAGTTTGTTAAGGGAATCACTGCGATTGTTAAATTAGTCACATGGTTGTTAAGTGGATCTGGCTTCCCCCACGGATTTTGCTTGTGAGAAGGTCCCCAAAAGGGGACCATGTGACCCCGGGACGCTGCAACTGTTGTAAAATGACAGTTGCCAAGCTTCTTGAATTTTGATCACCGAACGGCTGAGTCAACTAGAAAGGGACGAGTCTTGCTAATAAAGTGTCCTTGGATTGCTTTCAGGGCTCTTCCGGGGTCTCCCTGAGCAAGTCAAAGAGTACCAGGACCTTCTGGATCCTATACTGCAACAATCAGCTGAAGGTATGGCGATCTCTGGATCAGAAAGTCCTCAAGCATGTTTCTAATCAATGTAGCAAATGCCAGTCCCATGCTAGGAAAAAGACTCAGGTGCTTACTGGTAGAAGAGTTCAGGTCCAGGATAAATATGATGTCACATTAATTTATTTTCTCCAATGGGCCTCAGGAGAAAATGCCCAGTGAATGAAACATCCATTGTTTAAATATCCAGTGGCTCAAGAGCCATTAGCCACCTCTCCTTCTGTTGTGTAAAACCCACCTGGTGTGTGAGACCAAACCATCCTGAAGGAGAAGGTATTGTAGAATGGGTCAATTGAGTAAGGGGAAGTGGATCCATATAATATCTGGTCATGGCAAAGGAAGTCACATTTCTTGATCCCCTAGAACCACGTTTTCCAGCCTGGATGACCTTAAGGTGGGTGGAGTTCAACTCCCAGAATTCCCCAGCCGACGGCTGGCTGGGGAATTCTAGGAGTTGAAATCCACCCATCTTAAAAAGTTGCCCAAATTGGCAAAACACTAGTCTAGAAGCTGTCCCCTAGTACACTTGGTCTTAGGGCTGAATCCTGACACAATAGGTGTTGCAAGATGCAGACTTTAAATAGGAAAGAAGCATTGGGGCTACCTTTACTCACCTTTCTCAAAAGGTTTAAAAGGTTTCCATTTCAGTTACATTTGTGATTTGATTGCCTGCTTCCCACATCAATATAATAAAAGTATTCCCTTTGAAATTAATAGATAGGGGTCGTTGAGCATCTCTTGTAGAAATCATCCTTTTGTTCTTATTCTGCCAACTCCTTTCCATTCATGGTTTGCCTGGTGCTTTTTGTTCTAGCTGAATCTGGCTGATTAAAACAACCACAGTGAATTATTTTAGCCCTTTCTCTGTTTCCCACCTTTTAGAACCATTCTAGAAAGTAAGATGCTTTTCTTTACAAAGTTTCATGGCAGCCTATTGTTTCCATTTTAAATCCTGGCCAATGTCCCACTGCGTCATGCAATACTAACCATTTTTTTTAAAAAAAAATGGCTTTAAATCCCAGATGGTGCCATTTGTATGAAACAATATATAATTTAATTAATTGTGCATACACTATTTAAACATTTCAAAACGCAACTTCTTGCTTGCATTACCAGTACAAATACTTGTACCCCAAATAGTTATATATTTTCAGATATGGATATACATCCAATATAGATAGGTAGGTAGGTAGGTAGATATAGATTTATGGATATAGACATAGAAATGGATACAGATATAGATATATGTATAGATATATATCTGAAAATATGTATTTGAGTTATAAACCTCATCTGCATACTTCAATACAGTGCTTTAAACCCGATCCCTCAATACACTGAGTTTTTAACATCGTCACATAGTTATATGTGACGATGTTAAAAAAAAATAAAATCAGTGTATTGAGGGATCAGGTTTAAAGCATCATATTGAAGAATGCAGATGAAGTCTTTTTATATCATTCCTGAACTCCTTTTTCATTATGGCTTTTCATTTCACTAATAGCAGTTGTAAATATTTCTGATCCATAGCACCAGCCTAAGAATGGTACCTGTTAAAAAGAAAAAAGCACAGTCTTTCCCATCTGTCAAAAATTACCTCCCCCGCCCCCAGAACCAGTTTATAGGCATTGCAGCTGTTCACTCAAGGTGTAAATCGTGATGGCGGTTTGTATCTTTAGTGAGCTACAGCACAGAATGATTATTAGCACCGGTAGCGTCACTTCATTCACCACGCTTCTTTTTTGGCGCTTCTTTTGATGTACGTGTGTTTATTTATTTATTCTTTACACTGTTTCTTTCTTCTCCAACCGCCCGTGTCCCTCCATTTATTCCTCTTTAACTAGTCTGTTTAAACATTTGCAGGCTATCCGGTTGTACCTAAATATTACCACGTGCCAGCTGATTTTGTTGAACTGGAAAAGAAAAACCCTGGCAGCCAGAAAAGGTTTCCTAGCAACCACGGGCGAGATGGCAAGTTTTTTCTGTTGGGACAGTCCCTCTATATTATTGCCAAACTTCTCGGTAAGTAAGCCTACCTACCAAAGAATCAGAATGTCCTCCTATTTGAATAAGGTTTTCCTGCACCTATGATGACTTCGTGAGTTTTAGAAGCTGTGTGAAGAAGTTCCTGGATTACTGAGGGATCTTTTAGCAATAGCACTTGGAATTATATACCGCTTCATAGTGATTTACAGCCCTCTCTAAGCAGTTTACAGAGTCAGCACATTGCACCCAACAATCTGGGTCCTCATTTGACCGACCTCGGAAGGATGGAAGGCTGAGTCAATCTGTAGGCGGTGAGGATCGAACTCCTGGCAGTGAGCAGAATTAGCCTGCAATACTGCATTCTCACCAATGCGCCACCATGGCTCTCTTGAACTTCTATCACACATGGTTTCCTAGAATTGCTAAACCACAGCTTATTAACTTGAGAACAAACTCCTTTATACTTAACAATGTAAGAACAGCACTGTTTGTTTGAGCCAAATGTCCGTTGGTTCATCGTCCGTTTTAGGAAACAGATATTTTTTGAGGTGTTCACTAGCCTGGTTAGAAAATAGCGTTTTTCTCCCATGTTGCTCTGCAGCAGTCTGCAATTATGATGCACCTATGATCCAGAAATGTTCAGCCTCCCTCCCTCAAAACCACTGGACAGATGTATTCTCCATAGGCTGCTTTGTCTGCCTTTGAACACTGGCAGTATCTTGTTTGAAACTGTAGCTTCCTATTACATCCAAAGAGAAAACTGACAAGGAGATTTTTTTTTTTCCAAGCTATTGATGTTGAAGTCTGAAGCACAATGAGAGGGTGGGGGGGAGGTGAGCCTACGGGCACATGACTTGTCGTAGTGCGTTCGTTCAAGATCATTATCTCTCAGTGCTGTGTTAGATTTCAAGATGGCTTTTCAGGGGACCCTTGAGAAAAAAAAAATACACGCTGGAAATGTCTCTCGGAATAAGCTCCCCGTGCTGCTTGTTTGAATTCTGGGATTGAAACGGACTGTGACGTATTAGAACTAGCCATTGATGTTTCTCCGTATCATATATGTGTGCATGTATATGTGGGCGTATGTATAATGGTTAACTTTTGAGAGCTGAATGCAACAAAATTTCATTTTAATGAGTGCTGATTAGTGCGCATTTAAAGTGACAAGAAAGATTCTATCCTATTCCATTCCATTTCTATGAAGAGCCATGGTAGCACAATGGTTAGAGCGTAGCACAGCAGGCTACTTCTGCTGCCTGCTGGCTTCCTGCAATTTGGCAGATCAAATCTCACCAGGTTTAAGTTTGACTCAGCCTTCCATCCTTCTGAAGTCGGTAAGATGAGGACTCAGATTGTTGGGTGCAATGTGCTGACTCTGCAAACCACTTAGGGAAGGCTGTAAAAGCACTATGAAGTGCTATATAAGTCTTAAGTGCTGCTGCTGCTGCTATTGCTATTCCTTTCCTTTCCTATTCCATCCCATCTGACCCCTATCCTATCCAGATTGTATTCAGGGAGTTAAAAGAAAAGTCAAGATAATGACAACAACCAACTGACTGAAGTCCCACCTCTCTTTAACATGTATCACAAAATGTTAAAAAAATGTTTTAAAATGTTTTTAAAAAGTTTTATTCTATTCTACTCCTGATCTCCCCGAGTGTTCTGGCCAAACTGGGATCAGGTCCATTCGATGATCTAGGGTCCAGCCACTACATTTCATGATCATTTTGGTTTCTGATCAGATGCTGATCTCGGTTCTTGCCTATCTCAGAGTAATAAATTGTACAGTGGTAACAAATGCTCTTAATTACCCGTTGACAAATAACTGATGTTGGTGGTTTTGCTTTCAGTTGATGGTTTAGTAAGCATTAAAGATATCGACCCGGTCAAGCGCTTCATTCCTCCTCAAGATCAGCGGAACATTAGCATGCGATACTCAAATCAGGTATGCATGTCTATATCTACTGAAGTATGAAAAAAAGTCTATTACTGTGGAGCAAATTGTTGATCCCTAACATTTTGCAAACATTTTTTTTATCTTGGATTAGTCTATGATGAGGAGCATAGAATAAATTGCTTATATGTTAAAAATTGTATACCAGTTTTTATAAGCTAGCAGAACCAATAAGCAAGTTTGAACTTACAAAACTTGACTGGGTTATTCCAATTGGTTTGCTAAAATTATATCAATGTCTACCTAGGCTGGGTCTACTTAAAGAACAACTATTGGAACTGAAATAACTCTCACTGCTGAGCAAGTAGTTAAGACCTTAAAATCACAATTAGCAAGCATTCATCAGGAGCCTGTCCTATAATTTATTCAATTTTGTTTTCTTTGAAAAAAAAATACCAGCCTGGACAAAACATATAAAAAAGAACTGCATATGTGAGATGCATTGGTAAGTTAATTTTTTTTTTCCATAGAAACCCTCTGCTTTTGTTTCGGTTCTTAAATTTACTGGCTCTCCTACTACATTCTTTTTAAAACTACAGTTCAGACATCTGCAACTACAGGTAATCCTTGACTTACGACCATTGGTTCAGCGTCTGTCTGAAGTTACAATGGCAATGAAAAAAGTTAGTAGGCTTGTAGTTGATTCCTGGGAAAGTTCTACAGTAGCAGGTTGAAACAAGTGAAATGATTCTCCTCTCATTAAGTGTATTGATACACGGCTCACAAAATTTATCAGGTTATGGTAGACTCTCTGGATCACCTCGTATTTTTTTACGTGTGCAGAGAAGTTAAGGCAGTCAAATCAATTTAATGTACCTGACACATTTATTTTTAAACAGTCATGATTGTATCTTAATTTCTTCTTCATAACTCTTACCTTCTATTTGTTTGCAGTTCAATAAATCAAGTGGTTTTGTTGGATTTTTGGAATTTACCGGCATTCCATTAGTATTTATTTGTTTTAATTCCTTTTAGCTGCAAAGCCATTATGTGGATTGAAACCAGTTAACAGGTTTTTCCTCCAGCTTGGTTGTAAATCTGTGTTCTCCAGACATTTATTCCCTTATTTGGGAATTGGCTTTCTCAGCAGAAGGCTCACAGGACATGACTCAGCTGGATTTGTCCTTTGATTTCAGATAAGAATAAAGCACATGGAAATATTGTTCACTACACTACACAAAAGTCAACACTTTTCCCGAGTGAATGAATACTTGTTTACTGTCTCGAAGGCCCAAGAAATGTAGGAGAAAGTCAGGAAGAGCTGTGGGTGGCGTCAAGGGAGTAATAAGCCTGGAATCATTACATTCCCACAAGCGTTCTAAGTTCAACCCCTCTTGATTCTGTTAACTCTTATCTAGAGCCAATTTAGTGTTGACCGTTCATTGACTAGTATAGGCATGAGTAGTAAATCACCTTACCTGGAACTTAACGTTTGGTCCTGATTCTTCATGCCTGACAGCTCTACGATGTAGATCAGACCAAGAAGTCAACTCCACATTAAGATTAAAACTACCTGTATAAAATTTGACTATACTTACAGAACATTGCAAGTCTATTTATGCTTTACTTCCTCCCTCTCTCATACTCATGTGAATCAGGGGGTGTCTGAGAGATTTATGCATTCTTTATTGTTTGGGTTCAAGGAATACTTTCCTTCTTGCCTATTTGATAAGAGACCTCCCATTTTTCTATCAAGGCCATCCTCTTTACAGCACCTGAATTGGATTAACATAATAGTTCTCTCTAGCCTGGGATATGTTGGGTGTCATTGTTATACTAGTAGGACTCGGTCCATAGAAGATACACAATAGGCACCTGAAGGTTAAAAAAAATCTTTGCCCACATTTGCTTTGAAGTATTAAGAAACCAGATTCCCTATGCTTCTTCCCAAACCATGGAGTTTGAAGCTGGAAGCTTCCTTGTGGGTTCAGAAACTAAGCTTGCTTTTCTGTCCTCTACAAAGAGTTTACTACAGAGGATTAAGCTATCTCATTTTTGTTCCAAAGCAAATTAAGGAAATCCATTTAGTCATCTCAATATATATGTATATATAATACTAGAGAGCTTCGTAAAAGCCAATCAGTCAGCCAAAATTGAACTTGCTTTTAAAAGGCAATCTTATTCATTAATGAAGCTCATGTAGTTCTCATTAGTAATAAAACAATTTAATCAAATTTGAGATTTGGGATAGAAGCTATTTGCTAGAAAATGGCACTTTTTCTAAAAACTTATCTTAAAAAAAGATCTGTTGAAGGGGGGTTATTCCCCCCCCCCCCCCGCCAACTGGAATTCATGCACGAATGGCTCCATATGTAAAAATGCTCATCTGCATTTAAAATGGTTCTCTCCTACAACACAAAAATGATAACGTGTTTTGGGTAATTCCCCCGAATTGTTTTTCTTATGAATCTCCCATTTCCAACTGAAACGGACAAGTACTTCATAAAAGGGCTTCGTTTTTGAGTACTAAAACTTTACCTGGTATAGACAGGATCAGACAGTAGCAGTTCTCTGCAGCTGTCTGCAGCTGTTGCTTCTTTTGCTTCCAGTCATAAAATATCTCCATTCCAACATTTTTTCTCTCAGTCAAACAAACAAACAAAAACAGGATCACAGACCCAAGAAAGGAATCATAAAAGTTTTCCTCTTTTCCCAGTCCTTTCTTCTTCTCTATGTTAAAAGCTCATTTACATTTAACCTTGCTGGAATCCATTGTATTTGAGGCTTCAAAAGGCTAAATAAAGCATTAATGCATTAGGCTAAATAAAGCATTAATGGAGCCAGGGTGTCTGTTTATGTTTTGAAATTGAGACATCCCTCAGTGTCTTGCTTTGCTCATTTAAAACAACCTTTTCCCAATTTGTTGACCTTTTAATGTGTTCCACGGTACTTCAGTTTTTTTTCCTGTTGTGCTACAGAGGTCCTGCCAGGAACTCAGTCAACAGGCTGCTGTGAAGCCATTAGAAGTTCAGATCAAACGGGTGGAGATATTGTGATGGCAAATTTCCAATGATCTTGATCCTGATTAAATCAAGACCCCCGTCAGGAGTGGGGAGCTCCTTGCATATTGCTCAGCTGTTACTGTGAAGTTTAAACCACACGCCAAGTTCTAACCACAATTCTATTATTCTACTCTACAACAGTTTCAATCCTGCATCACATCCACACCATCTGGCTATCACAAACGCCTGATTTACAATAAGTGGAACTGCTTCTTAAATTCATAGGAGGATTGTAAATATTTAAAATCCTTAAATAATAAGTTAGGTGTCCTTCTACTTTTCATAGAGAACACTGATTATTTTCCAAGTTTTTTTCTAAAACGAAAGCAATCTATGTTACATTTGTGTAGCAGGTTTCACCAACGTGGGTGCGATCTAGATGCACAGTTTAGACATCTTGAGCCGTGGTGGCGCAGTGGTTAGAATGCAGTACTGCAGGCTACTTCTGCCGACTGCCAGCAGTTTGGCAGTTTGATTCTGACTGGCTCAAGGTTGACTCAGCCTTCCACCCTTCCGAGGTCAGTAAAATGACAACTCAATAGGCTGACTCTGTAAACTGCTTAGAGAGGGCTGTAAAGCTCTGTGAAGTGGTATATCAGTCTAAGTGCTATTGCTATCTTATCCTAGAATCCTTCTGCCAAAGTAGCCATTGTTGAGAGTTATGATAGTTGAAGTCCACATGTATAGAAACTGCCCAGATTTTGCTAGTGTGTATCAAGCAAACACAGTGTAGCGTACATAGTTTTATTTTATACTATTATCATTGTCAGCTTTGGAAGCCATATTGAGACCAGATGCTCCCACACAGCCACATTTTGAGCCTGAGAAAATGGGAGGGGGGAATTGCTTGGAGTGTATGTAGTTAGACATAATGACATTCTTTTTCTAAGTCAAGGTCATGTTATTTTGCGCATAAGTGAGGGGAAGTCTCAGGTTGGGACGGATGGTGATTGGGCTATGTGATGTGATGATAGGTGCAGGGGATGGGTTTTGTAGTTTTTACTTATTGCAAGGAAGCCCAGAACTTTTAGATTCAGGATTCCCCAGTTGTGCCAGTTTACTATCCGAAATAAAAAGAACTTTTGAGAAGATGTCTGTGTCGAGTTGTTGGTTGGAGTGGAGGTTTCCTGGAATGCTGACAATCATGCCAGCTGAAGTTGCCCAATTAAAAACCCTACAGATAAAATTATAGTTGATGCCCTGCCGGTGCCTTAAGTCAGACTCCCAAGTTCTGGTATGTCCATAGGCAGTGACAGTTCCATCATTTTTTTCTATGGATGGGGTCTCGTCGCCATACACAGACAAATACACATATGGAATCTGCCCATTAAAAGGAATGAAAAGGACTTTGGGTAAATAAACTCTGCATGTGCAGTCATGTAGGCTGTCTGCTTCATAGAACATCTGTTATACATCAAAATTATATACCACTGCTAAGAGATAACCGGTAAATGTTACATTCATGGGCTAGTAGAAAATGCTTTTGTTGTTTTAAAAAATGACGCACAAGTCTAATCAATCAAAAGCTCATATGGTGTCTTCTCCTTCTTGCTTCACCACCACAATCTGTTCCTACCATTTCAATAGTGCATCATTCAAAAAAATAATAATTATTATTGACAGCGCAGTTCCTCAGGTGGCACTGAGATTTATGCCTGTTGTTTCCCCGATGTTCCTTTGTCCTGTTTGCATAACCAAATTGATTAGCAGGCAATAAAGAATGAATGGAAAGCAGCCACGCAGCCGGAAAACGCCAGTCATGTTTAATGGAAGGTTATTGTTCCCGTTGGCTTCACATTGTGCGGTGGGTAACAATCAGATAGAGAGTTCCAATTAAAAACAAGTTTTCTTTTCTTCTTCTTATCCTTTTAGGGTCCCTTGGAAAATGACCTCGTGGTCCATGTTGCCTTGATTGCTGAAAGCCAGCGGTAAGTCCTTCATCTCTCCAATAAATCTCGTTGACTGGCTTTCAATGTGCCACTTGGTGATTCCAGCACTTTAGATGGGAACGCTGTGATCTCTGGAGGCTCTGTGGGTGAAACCCCACAGATCTTCTCCGTCGCTCCTTCAACAACGTCCTGCAGTCAAGAAGCAGAGAGTGAACTCTTTGGGTTTTGATGGGTCAGGCTGGAAATTAAAATCAGGAGCTTGGCTTTTCCCTCTCCCGATCAACAAATTATTGTAATTAACACAATGGGCTTCAAGATCAGGCAGAAACCTTCAGTGAAGTCCACGTTCCCTGGTCCAGAACTGATCTCAGAAGAGATGGATTGGGAAGAATTCTTGGTTCAGATCTGAATTTTGTCACCAGCCATATTCAGGTTTCCGGTTTAGCTCAGGCAGGTTCAAGAGTTATAGGCTGGACAGATACATTGCATTAGACTATCACAAGATTGGTGTGCTTCTGTTATAACATGTTCTATGAGCATGTGGACACAGGCAGACCCTTCCAAGACCCTTTGGAGATAATTGGACCTACATGGTAGTTCTATCTTTGGAGTGATGCGGTGGCCTAGAAGTGGAGCTCTCGCCTCACAAATCAGGAGGCTATGAGTTCAATCCTAGGTAGAGGCAGATATTTCACACCGAGAACAAAACACATCTGCTGAACAAAACTCCGCATTGGTGACAGGAAGGGCATCCGGCCATTAAACACTCTGCTAGCTCCATTCAGCTGCCCAGGCTCCACCCTACAAGGGATTATGGGGTCATTAAGATATGATGATGATGGTAGTTCTATCCTTGAAAGTCTAAAAGCGGTCATAAAGATTATTATAGCCAGCCTAGCTTTGATTCCATTTGTAAGAGTAACATTTCTTTCAAACATGGTCTATTGAAAGCAGATTCCAGTTTTGTTACACTAACGTCCCTTTGTAATGTTTTCACCGAAAACAACAACAGCTTGCAGGTGTTTCTGAACACATATGGCATCCAAACACAAACACCACAACAAGTTGAACCCATCCAAATTTGGCCTCAACAGGAGCTTGTGAAGGTAAGCTATCACCTTTAGGATTTTTTTAAAAAAAAATATTTTCATTTTCTTTTTAAAACCAGTGTTTCTTAGGCTATGATAAATTGCTTTTATTTTGGTATTACTTATATCAAATTAAAAAACTATATATGTGCACATACATACACACTCACACACACACACATCGATAAACACAGGTTTTATTATCAGGAACACCCTAGAAATAGCTAGAAACGAATGATGAGAAAATGGAATAAATGATACACTCGCTTTTATATATAGAAAATCCTCTTCTAATATTGTTTCGCTCTAGTGCTTAGAACAGCAAATCTTTCTAGTCCAAACACATCTCATTTGTAAACAAGGTCCAATTCAAATTTTGTTGAGCAAATAGGTTTTAACTTATTCATGTTTGTATTCTGAGATTACTCAGCGAATAAAATTGTCACAGGCAAAATATGTTTCCAAAACGACATGCATCCCAATGACAAAGCTGTTTGTTAGACATCTACATATTTCTTCGTGCTGCTTTTTCCTTCAGCATTAGATTAGAAACCAGGAGGCTGTGGTTTCTAGTCCCACCTGAGGCACCCTGGGTAACCTTGAGCCAGACACTCTTACTTAGCCCTAGGAAGGAGGCCATGGCAAACCATTTCCGGGGGGAAAAAAAGCCAAGAAAACTGCAGGGAATTATCCAGGCAGTGTCCAAGAATGGACATGATTAAAGGGAGGAAAGAGAAGAACACAATTTTTTGTATGCTGGCTTTTCCTTCCTTCCTTTTCCTTGGTGGATCTGATTTGATTAAAAAAACAGAAGAAAGAAAATATTTGCCCCAAGAATCATCCATCAATTGCAGCTTTGTAGTTATAGGAAATCACTGAATTGGGAAATAAGTAGAAAAAGAGTTCATAGTTCAATTCTCCTTTGTTTTTGCTACTTGCAATGCTAGGTGCAGTAGAGACATGACAGGGATTCAATGGAACTGAATTTCAGAGAGTAACTTATTTTGAGTAGTAAGTGAACCTTTAAAAAAAGCAAAGAAGTGATTATCATATATATCTCGGCAGAGAAATCCATTAACGTGTCAAATAATTTGGATAATTTCAACGAGAGTCTGCTTCTCCTTAGACCTTTGTGAAAATAAAGCTGTTTTAGAGGACTAAGTGTCCATCTTTTTCAGATGAATCTCAATGTTTTATTTTTATATGGAACATTGGACTCATGTGGCAAAAAGATGAGGAAGGTGTTGTATTTTTTATTTTAACCCTGTGTGTGTGAGAGAGAGAGACAGAGAAATGGAGGGGAAATCTGATTTATATGTCAATATTTTGTTTCTTGCTTTCATTTTTTTTAAAAAAGTCTAAATTTAAAAAAATTTAAAGTGCCCAGAAATAAACAAAGCAACAATTCTACCTAGTCTGCTGAGGGGTAAAAAACACCCTAAAATTAGACCACCACTTTTTACCCGATAAATAATAAATCCATTTATATAGTCAGTGTATTTCAATTATGGATGTTTATTTTATTCCAAACACTTAACACCCCACCATGCCTGGCTGGGGCAGGACAGGAATAAGTGAGAGGAAGAGAAGGAAGCCCTTCAGTTTTCCAGCCTGCAAACAAAACTCCCTGAGATGTCACCAATATTTCTTTGAACTGAATCCTCAGATAAATTGGAATCCCATATAACTTTTTCAGGAAGGGAGTCCTATAAACTCAACATAGAGCATTGATAACAGCGTAGCTCTGGCGTTCCATAATTTATGAGCTACCAAAGGCAACGGGACCTAGCCCATAATTCAATACCTTTTAACAGGATGCCGTTAAATATGGGTCTGCCGTTCCACGAAAGGCAAAGAATAGATGAGGTTTGTGCCTATTCCCAGGTGCAGTTTTTAAGTGGAGTTTCTCTTCGATTTCTGCCATCCTTTCTCTTTGCTTTCTACGTGCTTGGTTTTCTTTCCAAACCACTCCAATAATGCCAGTGGGAGGCTGACCTTCGCTTTCTGAAAAGGTAATTCTGCTGCAGAATCATTGACTGGCCTCCCTGCAGTCTTCTTGGCTCAGAAAGCTTTGGGTAGAACTCAGTTAATCTGTTCACCGAGGCAATCATATGTGCAAGAAGTAAGAAATGGTGGCCACTTTTTTTTTCTTCTTTTAAACAGTGTTCCAGATCATTTCCCTTTCCGTCTCCCATCCACTTGTCTCTTCTTTTGGGCTCCAAGATCATAAATATTCTGATTTTGCCTGAAGGAGCCTTTGATCCTTAAAAAAAAAATGAATAAGGAATTCTCCTTTTCGATCCTTCCCAAACACACTACCCTAGACCTTCTCTTTGAATGTTGGATTTTGTGTGTGTGTGTGTGTGTGTGTTTGTGTGTGTGCATGCAATGTTTACATTATCTTGTTTTACAGGCTTATTTCCATCTGGGCATCAACGGAAAATTGGGCCTCTCAGGAAGACCCGATCGGCCAATTGGTTGTCTTGGAACATCAAAGGTTTTTTTTTACAGAGAATTACTATTCTGCATGGTTTAGTTAGCATAAATATTGGAGGTGGCCTAAATTATTCTCTTAAGCTTGGCAAGAAATTTGGAGCGAAGCTTTCTGCTCCCTTTTCAGGACTTAGGGCCCATTGAATTTTTCATGGCTTACAACTGAAGTTGCAAATCTTATCTAAGGTTAGTTTATCAACCCTTTTTGTGCAGGTTCTTAGGAAGAATCATTAGTAATTTAGGAGAAACCTCTCATAGGTGTTCCAGTGTAATTGGTGGATAGAACTTGTATTCCTATAATCATGTTAGTTTGTGAAGTCCCACCAAACTTTTAGCTTGGCTTGCTTGGATGCCTTGAAAATGAAAAACGTTTTAACTATAACATAGAATTTAGAGTTTTCTCTCATCAAGATGAAGATCTGATTGTTTGGGTTTCGTGGATCTGAGACATTGATGGTTTATTCTACAGATTTATCGAATATTGGGGAAAACGGTGGTTTGCTACCCAATCATCTTTGACTTGAGTGATTTCTACATGTCGCAGGATGTTATGATGTTGATTGATGATATTAAGGTATTTTCTGACAAAATCTGATTCTGCTTGTATGTTTTAATTTTAGAAGCTTGGATACTTAAATCATAGATTAAGTCTTGTGCTTTATTGGTCTGGGAACATAAAGAAAATAAAATAAAATGAGAAGGCCTTATACTCAATAAGGAAGGGACACAATTACTTTCTCTAGAATCTTGTACCTGAAGTTGAATTTAATTGCTTACTTATATAAAAGAAAACCTCACTAAAAAAAGAAACAGGCATACTTTGAGTTAACTTGCACTAAACTGGATTATATAGCTAATTCCATATATTAGCCACAAAGTTGAAAGTTACTGCATTTGGAGTCATAGAAGAACATTTGTGGATTTGGAGTTGCTTTTCCTGAAAAAAATATCCTCTTCACCATAAGATGTTGTACCTTTTCTTATTTTCTTAAGAAGCACAGAAATAGGTCAAAGAGAAGTCCAGGATGAAGCAGACAGATAAAAGAAATGCAGACCACTATCAAATAACCACATTAAAAAGACCAAAGCATCAGGATTGGCTTTCTTTGAAAATTTTTAAATTGAGGATTAATCACAGAGCTGTAAATGGGGAGGGAGAGGGGGAGAAAGAGAAGGTTGGGAGAGAGACTGGAATGGTGATGAATTGATCAAAGTTGCTAGAAATCTACATTTGAACTGATAAGCTTCACTTTCATAAGTGGGAAAAAATAATTCTGGTGCTCCAGAAGGAAATTACAAAATTGCTCAAACCCCAAGGAGAGTTTTTGATTTACAGTATATTCAGCATCTGCTGGCTTGTAAAGATTGGGTTGGATAATCAGGGAACACTCAGCGCCAGAGAACAATGCTCTATAATTTTATCTTTTAAAAAATATTCTCCCCCACTCACACCTACCTTCCTTCCTTCCTTCCTTCCTTCCTTCCTTCCTTCCTTCCTTCCTTCCTT